AAAAATTCATGTGTAATTTTTTTTATTTTTACGTATTAACTCCCCTGTTGTCCGATCCTGAATCCGTCCCTGGAAGCGACCACATGCCATCATAAATTGCCATTTAGGAACGTAATTAAATAAATCTAGAATTGGCGTGAGATTTACGTTCCAAGTTTTGGTCCTACATTGGCAGGGGACCACGAAGATATTTTCTTAGTGATTAATTGACTAAACAAATACGAGGATAAGAAGCAAAAGAATTGAATGGTAAGCGACAAGTCGACAATTAAGACTTGTGATAGAAATTGTTGATGTCGAAATTTGTGTTGAAAATTTATTTCATAGGTAATAACAATATTTATAAATTTTCTCGTAATCATATTATTTAAATTAGTTAAGCACGTCAAATGTAACGGTCCAAAAATCTATAGCGCAATACTTTATGATAAAAAGTAACACATCATGATACTTGCTCATTTGAATAATTGTTTAGATAAAAATCTATAGTATATACTTAATTTGGTCGAAACAACACAAAATACAATTAAACAAAGGGAAAAATACATATATAAGATAGTATTAAGATACAATTTTAAAATTAAGAAACTTGTTTTAAAGTTTCAAAAATAAGATCATAAATAGGATATTTAATATATATTTTATGTATATAATATTTGTACATTAGATAATGAAAGATATTTAAAAAGATTCTCCTTTAAATCTGTTAAACATCTTTCCAAAAATCATGGGGTATTAAGTAAATGGATAATTAAAAATATTTGATTAATTAAATATATAAATGTCACACTATCATACAGTTTATGGTCATAGTTACGTACTAACCACAATCACATAATATCAAAATCACAAATTATAAATTTTATAGGTCACAGTTTATTTATCGGTCACAAATTACAAATTTTATAGGTCACAACTTATTTATCGATCATAAATTACAAATTTTATAGGCCGCAATTTATTTTACGGTTAGAAATTATTAAATTAATTGTCATAAATTATTTTTCGATCACAAATTATCTAATTAATTAATTACAACTTATTTATCAATCACAAAGACACAAATTGTAGGTCATAATTACATATATAACTACAAATCGTACATTTTTAGGTCACATATTTATTGGTCACAATCATCTAAATAATTGTTACAACCACTCTTCATCCGACTGTTATGTCCCATCACCATCGCATCACAAAAAAAAATGATGTCACATCACCATCACCACCACAGCACGACCACTCACGTCATCACCAAGAAACGCAAGAGTCACTAATATTTCAAAATCTCTAATCCTAACTATAATGGTTCCACATCAAAAATAACATATAACTGGTGAAGCACTAATCGAAATACAAAGTTTTTGATATTAGAAAATCAAGCGTTGACACTCTGATGACTTTAACTAACCAGATCACTCGATGGCAATGGGAGAAAAACATAGGACCTATTATTTTTTTTACATAGATCACAACCACACATATTAGTGTTTGGATTAGTTGTGATGAAGTGCATAAGGAGTTA